CAAATGGAGAGAATTTGGTCACATTCCTGATCTGTGCCTTAAAGACAGTCACTGCAGAATTCCCCACTTCTGACCTGCTTTTTGTAGCCACGATATTTACATGGCAGGTCCAGTTCATTTTCTGGTCAGTAGTAACCCCCAAGGTATTATTAGTGGGTGATTCAATGACGAAGCACCGTCCATCTATAAGCCACCTCAACAGCTTTTTCGGTAATCTGTACTAATTTACACCCTGTCAATCAATCTAACTTGTTTGATGCCATCATTTGTCTCATTGATATTGTCCTTTGCTGTTTCCCAGCTGCTGGTCTTATGTTACTGATCCCCAGCTAGCATTTCAGGCTTAATATTATTTCTTTTGCTTTTAAGAGTTTTGAGAAGAAATTAATTGTGCAGTTCCTTATTTTCTAAGGATCTCAGAACGCTGGAGTTTCAAACCATCTTTCATCCTCCCTTCCTACAGTCTTCAAAACTTAGTGTTGTCTCAGTTTTGCTTTCCAATTTATCTTTCAGCTTCTTTCTGCTTCTTGTTGTTAAGTCTCACGCAAATGGCCTCATTGCATCTCAAGCTATTGGCTGTATTAGGCTAATCAAGGGAAAGTTTTTAAGCTTTTCTGTAATTAGTGTGTGCTTGAGCTCAGACCTGCGTATATGTACGTGAATCATTTAATGTGGCAGGGTGAGTTGAGAAAGCTGTTTGAAAATACAAATGGAACCCAGGGTTTCAGCAATAGAGGAATTGATTACAAAAGCAAGGAAATTAACCTAAAATGTTACTTTAAAAGAAATGGTTCAGCCTCAGCTAGCGTATTGTGTTCACTTTTGGGCATCCCAATTCATGAAAGGTTCCAAGAGCTTGAAGCAGGTACAGAAGAGATTTACAAGAATGGGACATGGATGAGGAATTTCAGTTACATAGAAATAATGGAGAAGCCAGTTTTGCTGTCATAAAAGCGCAGTAGGTGAAGAGTACATTTGATTGAGGTGATCAGAGAATAGTTTCGATAGTCATTAAGGAAAAATTGTTTCCTGTGACAAAGGGCAGGTACTAAGAGGAAAATGATTTATAGTAATTGGTAAAAACAAAACACATGGCTGGCACAAGAAGATTAGTGTTTTTTTTAACATTGCAAGTTTCTGTGCTCTGGAATACTCTGCCAGAAAGAGTGATTTTAAAAAGAGAATTGACTGAATAAAGAAGACAAATTGCAGGACTATAGAGAAAAGAGCAGGAGAGTGGGACTCATTTAATAGTTCTAGCAAAGAGCTGGCAAAGGCATGATGGGTCAAATGGCCTCCTTTTGTGTTCTCATCATTCAATAATGTAATGATTCTAAATAAGCTATGGAAAATATTTCATGTTTTTTTCACAACATGTTCATTAACGCTGTCCTGTCATTCACATTAATGGCAGATCATTGAGCACCATCATTAGAATTTCCCAAGCCATTTACTACTGTTTTTGTTGCTAATAAAGGAGTTTGTTTGCACAGACTCCTACAGATCTATTTCGCCCTGAGATGTAATGATCTCTGTGGTGCAATTGCAGAATTTCCTCTCATTAAGACTAAATTAATTTGATTTGTACATTTAGGAATTCATGTCATGAATGAAGTAAATAAGAACTTAACCACCTTGTCCATTGTTTAACCTTTTGTAATTGCTTAAAAGTCAAATTTGACCTTCATGCTCTGTCCAGTATTTATTCCCCAGCAACATCACTAAAACAGGTTATCAGATCATAATTATATTATTAATTGTGGAAATTGAGTGCCGATTGGCTGCTGCATTTCTCAAATACAAATGTGACTACCCTTCAAAACAGTGCTTCATTAATTGTAAAACACTACGGGGTATCCTGAGATTCTGAAAAACTCTGTAATAATGCACATCAGAGCACCAACATCTGCTGCAATCTTCAGTTTGAAATGCATACAAATTAATGAGACTGTAGATTTAGACTTCATAAGCAATTGCCCTAAAGCTCTGGGATGAGAAAACTGAATAAATGGACAGGGTAATATAACAGGTAACAATAGATGATAAATAATTTCAATGCACTATTTACCATGCAAGTAGCACAGGTGGCTATGATACTGGATAATCAGATGAGTAATGAGACAAGTACACTTAAAACGAAAAAGGGATGTATTGAATAAACTAAAGAAACTCAAGGAGGTAAAAACCCCTGGGCTTGACGGATTGCATTCATACATTTGAAAAGAAACTGGAGCAGAAATAGCAAAGGCATTGCTGCATTATCAAAGATGTGGAGGTGCCGGTGTTGGACTGGAGTGGACAAGGTCAGAAATCACACAACACCAGGTTATAGTCCAACAGGTTTATTTGAAATCACAAGCTTTCGGAGCTTATGCTGAAAAAGGAAAACATTATCAAGAAAGGATGAACAGGCTTCTCTCTTTTAAAAAAAAACACTGCAGTGTGATATCATAGCGTTCTTTAAAATTACGGAAGGTGTTGATAGAGTGGATGTAGAGGAAATGTTTCCACTTGTAGGGAAGAACATACCAGAGACATTCAGTGTAAGAGAGTCACCAATAAATCAAGTAGGGAAATCAGAAAATTATTATTTTCTCAAAGGTCGATGAGATTGTGGTATTCACTACCGTAGGAAGTGCTTCAAGTGATTGACCTTGCACTTAAGGAGCAACTAGCCAAGTGTGTGAGCAAGAAATGAATGGAGAGTTGCGCTGATAAATGTAAACAAGGGAAGACTGCAGCAGACAAGTGAAACATAAATTCCAGCATGGGCTGGTTAGGCCAAATGGCCTGTTTCTGTGCTTGACGTTCTGTGTAATTTTATATAAGCCTCCATGCATCACATCATGCAAAAAAAGATGAATAAAGCTATGACACCTTTGCCTTTGGCAAAATGTACAACTGCTTGCCTGAGTAAACTCTGCCAGACATCTGCTCAATTAGGGAGATTGGCCAACAAAACAAAGTAGAGATGCCATAGGCATGACCAACACACCCTTGTATCAGCATATGTGAATGTAATGTAATGAAGAGAAAATTCATACACCCACTGGAATGCTTGGAGGGGTGGTCCTTTTACAGTCTTGTTACCCTTCAACTCTAAAACTGTCAGCAAAATTATCTAGAATATGGCTAATACTGTTTCCACAAAATCTTTAAAGCAGAAAAAGAGGGGATTTAATTGCAGTTTTTACAATAATGAAATAATTTGTTGGAGTGAATATACAGAAGTTGATTTCTAACGTTAGAGTGTGACAAAAACGATGGTGAGGAAAAGACTAACTGCCCTATCAAGTGTGACCTACTTTAGTAACAATTTTAAATCGTTATTTGAAGTTTAGGAGAGGCTTTAGGAGAAATTTCTTAATACAGCATGATATATTACCACAAGGGGTGATTAATATAAGTGCCATTCAACTGGATGGCAAAACTGGACTGATGTTTAAAGCGTATGGGGAGAGAACAGGAAATGGGGATTAGATTTGAGTTGCTTTACTTTGTGTACGATTGTGCATCAATTGGTCAGTTACAGTACTATGAAGTTTTATGGTAAAGTTAAGACTATCAGCCACTGGGTGAAATAACTTAAATGAAATAGCTGTTGGTAGCTATTACTTAATTTGCTGCCAAAATAATTGTGAAGCTGAAGGTGTTTAAGGTTATTTAAGTATAAATGGCACAGCAGACGAGGCCAGGTTTGTGATTAAACCCACATAACTCAGACATTACTGTTCATGTTATAGTGTTCCACCATTCGTTTTGCTAAATTGGCACTTCGCTGTCTGCCTCACCATGGATGGGTATTAGTTGTTCTAAGGTTGCTGTGTTTGCAGAACAGATACAAACTACACTCACCATAACAAAAACTAATTTTCTGTTTCAGTCTCAGTACCTTTTTAATGGCATAGTAAGTGTTAATTACAGCCAGTAATTTCCCTGGCACTGAAAAAATTAATGTATTATGATTGTGAAGTCTCACTTCTTCAGCTTTTAATTACTGGAGAAATTTATAAATATAGACATTTGAGTGTTTGTTTATTTTTATTTTATAATTTGTTCCTGCTCTTGATCCTTTTTTCTTTTATTCCCTTTACATCTCTCTATATCTGATTTGATATTGAATGCACACACTGTCATTCCTTTATGTCTTTGTGATATTTATTTCAAAAACCTTCAACCTGATTACTGAAGCAGATTTGTTATTTATTCCATTCACACTGGTCGCCAGATGTCCAGTTACCCTTCACTGTGACACTATCACCTCTCGCAGAAAGTAACTTGTCAGCTAAAAGCTTGAAAACCTAAAACATGTAAAGGAAGTCCAACTAAGAGCAGACACTGTTAAACCTTGCATTGCAGCAAATTATGACTTAGAGTGCAGAAGAATGCCGGAGTGGAGGTTAAAACGTTCCAGAAGGAAGTGTCCCTGTCATTTTCTCCCGTTTCTCACTCTCTAGTTAGCAGTGTGATCTTTTTCTAGCATGTTATCTCAAAATAGCTTGTGTTTCAAATGAACTCCTTGCATACCAATATATCAATGGAATGAAAAACAGACATTAAGTTGTTGGTGTGGGTGGGAGCCTAGTCAAAGCAAGGTTATTAGGTTTGTGAAAGGAGTGAAAATGTGATAAGATGGTGGAATTTGTCAATGCAAGGGAAGAGTAGTCATTGATGGTTGAGTGGGATGAGTGAGAAACAGGTTGGTAACCTGTGTAGGAGGACTAAAGAATGCATATGGAAATGCACATCTCTAGAAGACAACAGAAGAAAATAAGCACAAGGATCAAAATAATATTGAAAACAAGTGGGTAGTAGTTTTTTTTTGTGCTGCATTCCCCTATTATATTTTGAACTGTCTTGATGAAATAATTTGTATACATGCAGTTGGTAAAACTGTAACATGATCTGTTAAACTTGTAACTTACTTTTCAATTGGTTAATCATTGAAATAAGTTTTTGTGTAATTGTTGATAGCCAGTCTTGGTGTCCTTGTTTTGTAGCATCTGGTCACTTTGCATACCATTGATGCCGATGCCCCAGAGCTGAGCCATATTTTATGTTGGGCACCTACAGATCCACCAACTGCCCTCTCTTACTTTTCAAGTTTATATCCACCACATCCACTGACTGCACAGTATGCTGTAAAAGTGCTGCGTTCGTTTCCTCCGGTAAGAAGCCAGTAGTTTATAAATTAATTGCTCAGAGAATGTGGTATTGAATGTTACACACACTTCCAGGAACTACCATACTTGTGTTCTGTAGCTGTTTTTCAGGTCATTCTATTTATTATAAATGTGTTCTCCAGCTCATCATGGGAGAAAAGTTGGTAATGTTTTGTACATTTGGCATTCTAGTACAGTAATTTGTTTTTTTGCGAATTAGTTCATCAGCAAGTGTGGCACAACTTGAAGTGTGATGGGTACAACTTAACTACCAGAGTTTGTTTTATATAGACTGCATTTTAAATGATTGTTTCAATTCTATCCAGTTGGTATAGTAGTTAGAGCACTACCTCCAACCTATGAATAAATATTTCTACATTCATTTCACTCACCAAGTATTGAAATTGTGGCTATCCATCCTGAGATTTTCTTGAACCAGCTGATATTCTGAGAGGTATATATTGTCACTGATCCTTTACAAAGTAGATTGTAGTAGTTGCAGACCCTTCCTTCAGTGCCAGTGCACCCGACCTTGCCCCCTCACCCCTCCATGCAGACAATGCTGACAGTTGTCATCCTTGTGACATGGTTTTTGGGGCATGTTGATGCTTAACCTCAGGGTCTTATTTCTCTGCATAAGTGAGCCCTCAGAACAATGGTGGACATTCCTCCTCATTGCGTTTCGGTTTTATTGATGTGTCACTGAGGCTGCACATTGAACTCTATTTAAGAGGCTTTCACAAAGAACATGACAAAAAGCAAACAAACAGAAATTATTGGAGAAACTGAGCAGTTCTGGCGACCATGTGTGGGAAGAAAGCACAGTCAACATTTTGAGTCCAGTGGTCCTTGTTTAGAATTTCCTGCTTTTTAATTTTTGTTGCTTGGCTGCAATCATATGCAACATGGGGGAGGTGATGGCCTAGTGATATTATTGCTGGTCTGTTAATCCGGAGACCCAGATAATGTTCTGGGGCCCAGGTTCGAATGCTGCTAGAGCAGATGGTGGAATTTGAATTCAATAAATTAAGAATCTAATGATGACCATGAACCCATAGTCGATTTGTCTGAAAAACCCATCTGGTTCACTAATGCCCTTTAGGGAAGGCAACTACCATCCTTACCTGGCCTGGCCTACACGTGACTCCAGACCCACAGCAATGGGGTTCACTCTTAACTGCCCTTCTAGGCAATTAGGGATGGGCAATAAATGCTGCCTAGCCAGAGAGACCCTCATCCCGTGAATGAATAAAGCATTTTAAAAAAATGAATTAAAGAAATTGTTGGAAGATATTAAATTTTTTGTTTCAGATTTCCAGCATCCACAGTTCCTTGTTTTTTTTGTTTAATGGCACAATGCAACATTAAAATCTAATTGCAAGGTGCTTATGTGAAAATCACTTCTTTGGTCTATTAATTTTTTTTAAACTTAAAACTGCAAACAGATCCTGGGAAATTGAAATCTTTTCACTGCATGACAGATAAATCTTGCATCTGACCCTATTTTTAGAAAAAAGTATATTCCCACATCATTAACTAACTGCCTTTTTGAAGTAAAATTCACAATACCTGATGCTTATTTTTACCTGTTGTCTGTCCATTTACTGCACTCCCAGGTATCACCATTATTCAGACCTTCCTTCCAGTTCCTGCTCTGTGGGGACATTTCCAGCTGAAGTGGGAATCCCTAATTTCTCTTCAGAGATGCTGAGAGACCCTGCTGCACATTCCCAACATCTGGCTTTTTTCTTGTTGGTTGGCTAGAATCATGTGCGGCAGAAAAAAAGGGAATGAAAAGAATTTTGGGAAGATCGTAAATTTTTTATTTGAATATATTGGAGAAAACCATCTACTTGTGGGGTGTGTGTTTTGACTGATCTGCTAATCACTAACTTCTCTTTATTTCCTCAAACAGGATGCAATTCTGTTCTACATTCCGCAAATTGTTCAAGCTCTCCGATACGATAAGGTAGGGAACGCATTCACTTTATTTGCTTAAAGGCAGACAACAAAGGACTTTGCTACTTCACACTGTTGTTTGGTTTACTATCTACTGAGCTTAAAAGTTCAGAAATTCATGGAACAAAAGCAAAGTTGCTGGTAAAGTTCAGCAGGTCTGGTGGCATCTATGAAGGAAAAACAGAGTTAACGTTTCAGGTCCGGTGACCCTTCCTCAGAAGGCCTTTGCCGTATTTTCCTTGGAAAGAATGACTTTTCCATTCTATTGCGAAGACTTTTGCATTTCTCCAAATTTTCTTCTGATGCAACAGAGTTGATTTATTGAATTTGCTTTTGAAAAATATAATTGCTGTCGACAGGGTACAATCTGAAAGGTGGATTTGTTTTCTCTTTTTTAAATTTTTCACCACTCCCGTATTATGTTCATGTTATGGAAGTATCAAGGAACCTAGTCAAATATTGAATCCTTAGCCACAGTGGACAGGCTCTGCTGAAAATAGGAAGAAAGGACTTTGGAGCAGGAGCAGGAGTAGGCTATTTGTCCCTTCCAGCTTGTTCCTCGTTTTAATAAGTTTGTGGTTGAAGTGGTTTTGATCTCGGCTCCACTTTACAGTCTGCTTCTTACAGCTCCTTCCCTCCCTGTCCATCAAAATCTGTTTAACTCAGCCTTAAATAAATATAAAGACACTGCCTCACTACCTTCTGGAGAAGAGAATGCCACACTCTAATAAATTGGCAAGTGGGGAAAAAAAAATCTCCTCGTCTCTGTCCTAAAAGAAGATCTCTTTTTCTTAAACTGTCTCCTAGTTTCAGTTTCCCTAACAAGAGGAATTATCCTCCTGGTATCCATGCTATTAAGTTCCCTCAAGATCACATACATATTAGTATGATCACCTCTCATTCTGCTGAACTATATCATGTTGCAACCTGAATCCTGAGAAGACTTGCTTTGGAACTTACATTCTCATTTGTACTTGCTGCAATGTTTGGCCTTTGGGGGTCCTGTAAAATTCTTGGAGGGTTGCCAGGAACAAGACAGAATTCCAGCTGGAGCTATTTTTTTCAAATCACAGACCTATTCATATAAATGACTGGTGGACCAAACAACTTCCTTTTTAATGAGCATTGATATTTAGTCTCGCATGTACATGTTAAAGAGTCACTGTATCACCTGCTGTGTGTAGCTCCTTCTACCATGAGATCTGCTGGTACAGTGTACCACGCTTACACATCCACTTAGCTTGTCTTCAAATACTCTGTGACATCTGGCATTCAGCCACGCCCAGGTCAATCCTGTTTCTATCCTCTATTTTGTCTTCTAGAAGAGATCCTTGGAGCTTTTGAATCTGCAACAAGTATGTTTTTGGACTATTATGCCAGCTGGCAGAACTATGAATACTAATTACCTCTAGACTATTAAATTTTCATGTGTTAGCTCTATTAACCCACTGTTATTTTACAATATATTCTAGATGGGATATGTGAGAGAGTATATCTTGTGCGCAGCAGCCAAATCTCAGCTTTTAGGTCATCAGTTTATTTGGAACATGAAAACCAATATATACACTGATGAAGAAGGCAGTCATAAGGACCGTAAGTATTTAGACCGCTGTATTGTATGAAGGACAATAGACCTTTATTCATTGTCCCATTCCTTAACCCACTGTGTAGTTGATGTTCCTTTGTTAGTTCTGCCTATGCTTAGGGTTGAGTGTCATTAATCTGGCCAGGATTTACCGCCCATACCTTTTTCTTTTGAGAAGGTGGTAGCAAGCTTTTGTGATTGAACTGTTTTGTCTACAGGCAAGTCCATATTAAAAGAAAGACTGCTGAAATATTTAAACAAAAGCGAAATACTGTGTACGCCGGAGATCAAAAATAAAAACACAATGTGCTAGAGAAACTCGGCAAGTCCGGCAGCATCTGTGGAAAGAGAAACAGAGTTAACTCTCTGAATTCAATGTGACTTTTCTTCAGAATCGAAGCATTAAGTAAAGTTCCCCTCTCTAGAGGTCCTGCCAGACCTGGTGAATTTCTCCAACACTTTGTTTTCACTTATGCTGAAATATTTGTTAAATGGGTCTGTTTAGCTTTCTTAACTGAAAGGATCACACAACAAGATTTTTCAACCGCTCAGACTTTTTTTAACTGTAGAAAACAGATTAAAAGCAACATTGAATAAAACCTGTCCATAGACAACTCATTCTAAGCTACAAAAAAGTTTTCTGTCAACTTCTAAAGCAACTGAAAGCCTCCTACACACACGCGCACACACACCGCACGCACACACTCCTGCTGTTGTCCAGGCAGATGACCCCTAATCCCAGAACTGATTTACACAGTAGGGGACAAATGGGAGAGTTTATACCTCTAGCCAAAGTAAGGCTAATCTTCGAGTCCCACTTAAATCAGCATGAATTGACTCTGGTCGAACTGAGTATGTACTGTCACCCACATCTAACGTGATGGTTGGCAGCCTCTTGTAGATTGAACTGTTCATGAGATTGAGTGACTGATTCAGATATTTCAGGAAAACATTTAACCCAACCCTACAATGGTTTCCAATGGGTACTTCCCGTCCCCTCAAAACCCATTTCCATCTACCTTGTATTCGGGTAGAAATGCTAAAGCTATCTTCTAGATTCCCAACTTCATTCTATGTTGGAATTAAATAGGTTAAATGAAATGAAATGAAAATAAACAAATGACAAAGTACAGTACAGGGACAGGCCCTTCGGCCCTCCAAGCCTGTGCCGACCATCAGGCCCTAATTAATCTAAAAACAAACCTGCCATATTTTCGATCCGTATCCCTCTATTCCCTCCCTATTCATATACCCCTATTCATGTTAAAGTATAACTGTTTATAAAATCTGATATTTCTAACATCTCCCTGGGACTCGGAGACTAATAGTCTATGCACCATCAGCACAACTGCCCTGACCGTTGTTGACAGGTATGAAAGTCTTGTGTCTCCTTCCCATTAAAGCAACCTGGGTCCCCCTGTCACCCTTAGTGACCAAGTCAGTCAGACCTGCTGGCAGGTAGAGTTAGAGCTGGTCGCGTAACACATTCTTCTAATCGTTATTCATAAAAGGGTTTCAATCCCCAGTGCTACTTTGTAAAGCAAGCTATTGGAGTAAAAGCCAGAGACAGAATTAAATTGCATACTTCAGGTCCTGTTATGTTTCTTCAAATACCCAAACATTTATGCCAACCAAAACTGTCAAAGGTTGAACCTCTGTCCTGTCACACTGATGGTACAAATCTTGATCTATTTCATTTTTTTGGAGTGATCTATACTGTATTACACTTTCATAAGGGTTTGCAAATCTGGGACAGAGTGAAGAATTTGATGCTTTTCTTTCTTTTAGATGTGTACTTGCTTTCATTCATACCACAAATGCACTCTGTTGTCTGTTGTCTAAAAAAGACTTCATTATTCTGTAAAGACGCTAAGAAACATGAGCGTTTTGTCTTGTAGGACTATATGGAGCTCTTAAAAGTCAAGGGCATAATGCCAGTTGATCAGATCATCAACTTGATTCAGTATTGGGCACAGACACATTGTGTTTGGCCACCTGAGTAACCCATTGGGCACAGGGTGTTGCTGTACAAGCTTGTTGCAGACTAGAATGGTAGACTGTGCAGTTCCATGCATGATTAGCTGCATGATATCATTCTAAAATCTCTATTATAATGTCTAGGTGGGGTGGGAAAATGAAAAAAAACATTTGAAAATAAAAAGGTGTGTTTTACAATAGACCACTCCAACAGCTGGCGGGCAGGTTGAAGAATGATGTTTGACAGTAGCTTGTATTTTTTTTTATACATCTGAATGGGTTTACAATGCCAGCAGGCCTGTGAAAGTGGAGAAATCAAAGCAAAGAACAGTGTCAATGGGTTAATGTTTGTGAAGTAATCCTGCCCTACATAAATTATATAGCTTACTAACTCTGGTAAATCTCATCTGGCTTCAGGCTGGAGCAAGTCCCATTTGACTGCTGAATTGGCAGATTTCTCAATGAGAAAGCAACTGGGTGTTTGTTTGTTTTGTTGGCAGCTGATATTGGTGAGTTACTGGAACAACTGATAGAAGAAATCACTGGTTCATTATCAGGCCCAGCTAAGGACTTCTACCAGCGAGAGTATGACTTCTTCAACAAAATCACCAATGTTTCTGCTATCATCAAGTAAGATGGTGAACTTTCATGTTATTTTGAAAATTGGTATGATGAATGTTGTATTGCCCTTACCAATCAACAGAAAGCACTTTGGTTGCACAAAGATAATGGAATTGTTTTATCCAAATTTCATTTTCCTGTCCATCAGTCAAGAGTTTTAAAAAAAAATTCTTAATGCTACACTTAGCTTCTGCAAGAAGAACAGACAGGTAAGCACATGCAACTTCACTGTGCCTATGACTCCATGATGTTGCAATGACAGTGTGATCGAAAAGAAACACTCTTGTACAGTGTTGATTTTTCAGGTTCTTTCATTGTTTAAAAGCACACACGACAACCCTGGATACCCCTCATTGTCTCTTTGCAAAATCTTGATCTATTATTTGAATATTTTATACATTTGTTTGAATTTGGGAAGGACCAAGCCATTCAATTCAGATGCATATTTTTTTCATGCATTTAGTTTTTTTTGTAAAGGCACGAGCAAATATTGGAACCTATCTGGTACCAGGTGCATTTGCCAAAATGGAACCATCAACTTTTCAACCCTGTGCTTTCTGTCTTTCTTAGCACCTTGGTTTTAGAATTTTCATCCTTATTTTTGAACATCACTGTGGCCTGGTCCCTTCTTATCTCTGCAATCTCCTACACACCATGACCAACTGAGATATCCGCAGTGTTCCAATTCTTGCCTCTTTAGACCCTTGATTTTAACTGCTTCTCCACTATTGACCATGCTTGCCGCTACCAAGGGCCCCAGCTCTGGAATTCCTTCCCTAAACCCCTTGGTCTCTCTGCTCCTTTAAGATCGTCCTTAAAACCTACTTCTTTGATCAGGCTTTTGGTCACCTAATATCTTAATGAGGCTCAGTGTTAAGGGTTGTTTAGTGATAATCTTATGATGTGCCTTGAGACATTTTCCTGTATTAAAGGAATGATATAAATAAGTTTTTTTTAATGGTAGCATTTAGTATCCAAGGCTTTAAAAATGGAGGCATAGAACACAAGAGCTAGGAAGTTATGGTGAACTTACGTAGGACACAAGTTCGGCTTCAGTTGGAGTATTGTTCTGGGCACCACACTTCAGGAATGATGTGAAGGTGTTAGAGACCATGCAGAAATGATTCACAAGAACAGTTCTAGGGATGAAGAACTTTAATAATGATGATATTTGGAGAAGTTAGTGCTTTTTTCTTTGGAGAAGAACCCTGACAAAATTCCAGCAACAGCACTGAAGATTCTGGGTGCTCCAGAACTTGGTGCTCCAGAACTTGCCGCACCCCAAGAGAAGATGTTCCAGTACAGTTACAATAGTGGCATTTGTCTGACCATGTGGAAAATTGCCCAGATATGTCCTGTACACAAAAAGCAGGACAAATGTAACCCAGCCAATTACTGCCTCATGAGTAAAGTGATAGAAGGTGTCATGAACAGTACTATCAAGCAGCACCTGCTCACCAAAAACCTGCTCAATGATGCCCAGTTGGGGTTCTGTCAGATCTACTTAGCTCCTGACTCATTACAACCTTGATAATAAAGTTGCTTTTGACTGAGTGTGACATTGAGGAGCCCTAGCAAGACTGGAGTCAGTTGGAATCTGGGAAATCTCTCTGCTGGTTGGAATTATACCTGACAAAGAGGAAGATTGCTATGATAGTTAAAAGTCAGACATCTCTGCAGGAGTCCCTTATGGTAGCATCCTTGGCCCAACCATCTTCACCCAATTCAATGACCTTCCCCCTGTCATAAGGGAATGTTTGTTGATCATTGCACAATGTTCACCATTCATCACTGTTGAGATACTGAAGCAGCCCATGCTCAAATGCAACAAGATCTAGACAGTATTCAGACTTAGGCTGACAAATAGCAAGTAAAATTCACACTGCAGAAGTGCAAGGTAATGACCATCTCCAACAAGCGAGAATCTGACCATCATCCGTTGTCATTCAGTGATATCACCATCACTGAATTTTCCACTGTCAACAACCTGGAGGCTGCCAGTGACCAGAAACTGAACTGGGCGAGTCATATAAATACTGTGGCAAAAACAGCAGGCCAAAGGGTAGGAATCCTGTGGTGAGTAACTCCCCTCCTTACTGCCCAAAGGCTGTCCAACATCACGTGGTCACATTTAAGTTACATGGGATCCACAGTGATACAAAATTGACTTGGTCATAGAATACAAAAAGTAGATGAGGATATTTTTCTGACTGGAGGTTTATGATTGGTAGCATTCCACAAGGATCAGTACTGGGACCTCTTGTTTATGATATATATAAATTATTTGGATAAAAATGTAGGTGGCCTGATTAGTAAATTTGCAAAGGACATGAAAGTTTTTGTTTGACCACATTTGGAGTTTTGTGTGCAGTTCTGGTTGCCACACTAAAGGAAGAATGTAGAGGCTTTGGAGAGAGTGCAAAAAGAGGTTTACCAGGATGTTGCCTGGATTTGAGTGATTAGTTATAAGGAGGGGTTGGACAAACTTGGATTGTTTTCATTAGAGCTTCGGAAGCAGAGGAGTGACCTGATAGAAGTATATCAATTTGTGAGAGGCGAGGATAGGGTGGGATAGTCGGAGTCTTTTTCCCAGGATGAAAATGTCAAGTACTAGAGGGCATAGGTTTAAGGTGAGAGGGGGCAAGTTTAAAAGAGATGAGTGAGGCAGGTTTTTTTACAGAGGGTGGTAGTTGCCTGGAAGGGGCGATTCCAGGGGAGTTGATCGAAGCAGATGCGATAGCAACATTTAACAGGCATTTAGGCAGACACATGAACAGGCAGGGAATGGAGAGATGTGGACCATGTGCAGGGACATGGGAGTAGGGCATCATGGTTGGCACAGACGTGGTAGGCCAAAGGGCCTGTTCCTGTGCTGGACTGTTCTTTGTTCAATCTACAAGGCTCAAGTGAGGAGTATGGTGGAATACTAGCCACTTGCCTAGATGAGTGAAGCTCCAACGACACTCAAGAAGCTTGACGCCATCCAGGACAAAGCACCCACTTGATTGACACCACATCCACACACATTCACTCCCTTCATCACCAAAGCTCCGTAGACTACACCTTCCAAACCCATAACCACTACCAGTTAGAAGGACAAAAGCAGTAGATACATAGGAACACCTCCACCTGCAAGATTCCTGCTTCCCCCCCTCCCGTTCATTGATCCTTTGGCAGTAATACATGAGTTCTAACTCACGCCTTGTCCTGTTCTCTTATCTCTCAGCTTGCTGCCCTACATTTGGCTCATCATCCAGCAATGCATTTTTACCCTTATTTTCAAATCCCTTCATTGTTTAATCTCTCCCTATTTCAGTAACTTTCTCCAGCCCTTCAGCCATCAGAGATCTCTGTGCTCCTTCAATTACCGGGGTCAGTTACCCATCTCTGATTTTATCCTATCATTGATGGTCTTTAACTGCCTGGGGCAAATACTATGAATTTCCCTCCCTAAGCTGCTGCTTCTTCTCCCTTCCTTTTAAAGTGTTCTTTAAAACGTGTCTCTTTGACCATGTTGTTAGTCGTCAGTCCTAATAGCTTCCTACATATAACCCTTTCAATTTTATTTGATAGCGCAAGTGAAGTAGCTTGGTAGATTTTACTATATTTTGTGGTGCTATATAAATACAAGCTTTAGCAGTTTCCAACACCACCTCTTATCCATCAACCAATTTTTCCCATGTTTCTCGTACAGAATAAAGGCAGTCTAGTACAATGTGATGAAGTATTAAATAAAGCAATGTTTAATATACTCTAAACTAGAAATATTTGTGACTTTGAAATGAAGAGTAGTCTTTTTAATTGCGTGAGTTTCAGTGCGATTGTCAGTTGCTGAAACAATTCACATACTGTTTAGAAATTGATCTTCATGAAGTGGGGACACACCAATATTTTAAGTGCTTATTTTAAAGCTGTAAAGTCCGCAATGAAAGGAAATTGCAAGCGTACATGTACAACGTAGATTGCATGTTTTTAAGAAATATTTTTAAACACTTTCTGAAGGCAAAAAAAAATGAAGGTAATCGAGAGCTGCCATTTAATTCCATGGGACACGTTTTATTGAAGTGGAGTAATTTGTTCACCTTGTTTACTTATGAAGTAATTCCCAGTTGCTTCATTATGATTAGCTTGGTTTCATTATTGTGCTGTTTCTAAGTGCATCCATGTCCGAATCTCTAATTAGAAGTTAATGCTTTAACTCTCTTTTTATTTCAGTCATTATATTTGTTCCTTCTTTATGAATTAAATTTTATCGATCAGACACTTTGAGGAATTGTGAATGTTTGCCTAAAATTCCACAATTAATTCTGTTCGATACTGACGCTGCACAAAATTAGAATGTGGAGACTGACTATCAGTGAGGGTGCACGGGTCCCTGAAAGAAATGGTCTCGTTTCGTCTCAGTTTTTGCCTTACTACCCAATTTGCATTTTAGCTGTGCAGGAGTGCAGAGCTGAAAGGGTTTTCTGAAACTAAGTTTGTAATATAAATGCAGTCTTTTTTATTTATTCTTTCATGGGATGTTGGTATTATTGTCAAGGCCAACATTTATTTCCCATCCTGAATAGTCCTTGTGTCTTTCCACATGAGGTCGGCAGATTTTCTTTCATGAATGACGTTCATAGTTTTTAACAACTGTCGATAATTGTTTTGTGTTCACCATAACCAAGATTAGCTGTCCATTCCATCTTAATTCATTGAATTACATTTCACCAGCTGCTGTGGTGGGATTTGTCCCTATTGCAATTATCCAGTCCTCGGGATTACTAGTCCAGGGCTATCGTATCTCTCTCACTCTGTCTCTCGTGCGCTCTGTCTTAATTACATATAAATAATCTTTGGCTAGGTCTTATCAGAAAAGCAGTAAACTGAAAGAACATTTAATTACTCAGAATGCTTCCATTCCTCCTTCAGGCCATATCCTAAAGGTGAAGAAAGGAAGAAAGCTTGTCTGAAGGCCTTATCTGAGGTTAAAGTCCAGCCTGGTAAGAGAATGTACCTTTCTTGGGACATTTCAAATACCAGTGTAGTATCAGTTGTCATTTTGTAAATGTTTCCATATCTTTAATTATTTGCAATTTGAGAGTCTTTACTTTAGAAGACCATGTTGTTCTCCGCTATTTTTACGTTAAAGCGAATGGGCTGTAATGGCATAGCGACGGTATCCATACCTCTGAGCCAACAGGCCCAGGTTCAAGCTGTATCTGTTCCAGAAGTGTGTAACAGAAACTGAACAAAATGATTTTAGAAATATTTACGATAATGAAGAGAAGAACACTGAAACATTGGTCTGTTTTCTTTTTGGTTTCAGGTTGTTACCTTCCCAGTAATCCAGAAGCTATTGTTTTG